TATCCCAACAATATGCTAATTGTTCGACAGGTTACTGGGATTTACATCATCACGTGAGAAAATGGATTCTTTGGAAATTAACATAAGAAGTAGGGTTGAGTATAGAAAATAGAGTGCGAACTATTTATGGCTATTGGATAGGCTTAATTAGAGATAGAGAGGGTCAACACGAATGACCATTTTGGCAAGAGAAGTCTAGAATATCTTCAATTTCTGTTAATGCTATCGCATCTCTCATCGTACGAACGTTTCATATATGCAATAGCCAATACCGCATGCCAAAACAAGCGTCAACATTTGAGGCTAGTACGCTAATTATGTAAGGAAATATCTGCTATTGCATCTTACTTCTTTTCATGCAACAACTTCACCTATTTGCAAGCACGAAAATGAGCTCGAACCAGCACTATAAAGCGAAAGGAGACTGCGACCAAACAAGAGGCCAAACCATCTTAGCCTTCATACATACGATGAAATATTTTCGTTTACACATACATTTTCCGTGTAGCAATGAGATCTATTCAGCCTAGGAATGGTATTAGTCTCGACGCTTACATATAAACGAAGATAAGGGATGTGGCCGATTGTAATTCTTTCGTCAGCAGTCCCACGACAGAATGTGATATGGGAAAAAGCCTGGCCTTCCTTCAAATTCACACAAGCTCACTCATGGCTGCGCGGTGTAGTGGTCAACGCGTCGAGACTATAGACTGCATTACAGCAAATCGGGTTCTTGTCTGGCTGGTAGTGCTGATGGGACTCAGGCGAGGCCGAAACTGCAGAACAGTCCACTCTGGATACGAGTACCCCATGGGAATTAGGACGATGTCAAATTCAATGAAAACGTGAGGCCATTCATATCATTTGGGGACAAAATGATACCGAAATAGGGCGAATATATCTCACGGCATCAAGTGGGCAACCAAATCACACGATGCCTGATTGAGGGATGATTAGTTGTCGAACGGACACCCATTTTCTTGGTTTTGTATATTGGTGCGCTATTTCGTAAAGTATGGCTTCATGCTGTAAATATGTCCGCAACATGAAAGACGAAGGCTTAGTACAAGTTCATCGGAGTCGCAAGATGGCGAACCGATAATTTGTCCACACAGTCTTCATCCCATGACATTCCTCTTTCGGCTTTCGGGGACGCCATTCCAAGAATCCCTTACAACCAACTTTTTTTGAAATGGAAAGTCGAATCATACTAAAGGAATTTTCATAATCAACCTTTTCCCTGTACTTAAGAATGCGACCATGCTCTGATGATATCCATCAGACGACAGACGAGAGCTTAGCTTGTTTTTCCCAGAATCGAAGGGAATGCCTGTGAGACAGCGTCAACTAGGATGTTGCAATAAGGCCAACTGACAACCGGCAAAAATGTATTTACCGTTGTCTTCTGGTGGGATCGACTTTCGAATCTTTTCCGAACATCCCTTCGATCAAAACGGTTATGAGCTTATCAACGACTTGTTTCGCTATGCTATTCATGATTGCCATATAGCACAATGAGACACACAAGGGTCGTATCCCTTGGGCAGCAAAATGCAAGTGATCAGGCATTCTCTTCAGCTCCTGGTGGACAGACCTACTATCATGCAAGCAATAAAGCATTACAATCTGGTATAACATGACAAAACATGCACTCAATATCTAAGACTTTAGAGTAGACTCGTGTATTGTTATGAAAATTAATCAAGAGCATTCATAGTATGCCATAGAACATTGCGGTGCAGCGCGAATTATGCATTATTCTATTATTATACGCATTTATTTCGGCTAATTGTGTCATTATTTACAATAATTGTCTTTTTTTAGCTCTTCTATTTTTGACCACTACATAAGTATATAATGAAGTTGGTTAATGCTTATCTTTCTATAAATTCACGCTCCTCAACTTACTTTTCGCAATGACGATCGAGCTATTGACAATCATTCTAATAGCAGGCAAGCGTTAATTTTAAGAAAGTATTCTCTTTCACGATCACCAATTCAGTAACTGTCTCTCGAATCCATACTCTGTGAACTATCACTTTGGCATCATGTTAACGATAGAATCCCAATTCCTTTTCAAAATTCCCATTGCACCGACCCTTCAGACATGCATCAGTCAGACGGAGAGCTGCAATTCCAGAGAGTTCAAACACAAAAGAAGCCGTGCCCAGCGGGGCGAGTTCCTGATTGCTAAAGGATCTGGCCCAGGTGTCGCCGACGAAGAAGCCGAGAGCGCCACCCCAAGCTAGAACCTCAGTCCTCTCTTACGCATTCCCCTTGCTCTCTATGTCTGCCAATCCCCTCGTCCTGTGAAGATGATATCAGCCTGACCCATCAAGCACAACTAAATTCTAATCAACGTTTCTGCAGAGCTAAATATTAAGATGAAAATCAACAGAAATTCACCATGGTGGGCATTATGGACTAAGCCTTAGCATAAGTGAGCGCAAAGATGAAGACGGCTTGCATGTAACTTTGCATGGCATCATGATTATTTAATGTCTGTTTTACCGGTGTTTTGATGCACTGAGCATAGCTATAAGTAAAATATTTAAAAGGATAATGCTTGTACTCAAACTCTTTACAACTTACGCCTATTCACAGTTATTTCAGAACTTTAAAAAAATAAAAATTAATCACTTGTGAAAAATAAATAACTTAAGGATACTACTTTTTCAGAAGGCTCAGACGGAACTAAAGTCAAAGCCTGGAACAATTGACCCACAGTCACTATTTAGCTCCTTTTCGAGTTCAGTAAGGCACTAAAAGCTATCGCCATTCAAGTCCCTCCATCCCTCAACGACGCAGGTGCAGAGGGTATGTGTAGATAGAATGATCCTGTTAAAAGCAATTTGATTAGATTATTTGAAGTTGATTAACCACATGTGCGCCTTCCATTTTCTCTATTATCGGCGAAGAAATGATGGAGTTACTGATAAAACTTTCCTGAATTTTTAGCATAAGTTTATGCCGTTATTTGATGGTAAATATGAGGAGCAAGAGAGTGTGACTTCGGGTTTGTTGGCAGCCACCTTTAACCATATACTGTTGATTTGAAATATTTTTTGTAACTTGGTCGGGATGACAAGGAGACCACGTAAAAGATAGCTGAGTCCTGAGTCCTCTGTCATTGTCTCATACTCACCTCGAAAAAGCTGCAAAAACGAGGTC